TGTGTGTGTGTGTGTGTGTGTGTGTGTGTGTGTGTGTGTGTGTGTGTGTGTGTGTGTGTGGAGAGACAGAGACAGAGGGAGAGAGAGAGAGCAGCCAGCTCCTCTCTCTTTACCACCGAGGCTGAAGGTCAACAGACGATCATGCTAAGCTTGCTAACTGTTCCACCCTCTGACTGCTGCAGGGGCGTGTCTTAGAGAGAGGCTTTTATACCAGAACACAGCCGCTGTGACGAAACTGTGCAGAACCACGTCACACAGGAGAGCCGTTAACCAATATGCAAATTAGCCTGCAGTACCACTGCTCTACCCATATGAGCAGCAAAAAGACGTTTTTAGACCAAATGTTACAGATTTGGACAAATACACACAAAAACATCAAAATTAGAACAAAAACAGTACTATATAACATTTTAGACACATTCTAGACAGTTTTTCAGCTTAAAAAAAGTTAATTTTGGGGTAAGTTACTCTTTAAAACATTGCACTTTTACTTTAAATAGACCCCAGCTGAATGATTTTAAATATGAAAAAGAAGGATTTAAAAGCATCACACGTCTACTTTAAGAACTGTTTCTCCAGGTGTTACTGTGTGAATGCTGAGTCAGCAGTCACGCTTTTGCTTTTCAGTTTATGGTTTCTTTTTTATGGTTTTTACAATCAAACTACTTCTGCATGCTTTGCAGTATTTTAATTATTTATGTAAACGTTAAAGTTGATTAGAAATATGCTATGACTTTTTTGTCATTTTTATTCCTTTAAAAAACATTTAGCTTCAAAAAAATGCATTTCTCCTGAAACACTGTTCCTTGAAATCTTTTTTTGTAGATAACGTTTTTTTAGATAACATTTGGCTTCTTTTATGGTGCGCTACTTTTAGCTTTTTTAAACTATTATTCTAAAACTTTAAGCTATTAGCTACAGTTGGATTATTTAACTGACAGTTTAATTATTTCTAAAATTATATACATTAACACTGATGTGAAATAAGCCTTTATAAGTCATTATAGATGGTAGATGAGCTATTATTTATTATGGATTTTGTTCAGAATAAATCCTCAGGAACTACTGACATTTTTTTAACTTGATTTTTTTTGCAGGAGTGGTCATGGGAGCTACTGGTCTGATAATAAACTAGCTGTATTTTTGTTTCTTTTAGCTTTTTGTTAAATTTAGATTAAAACTACAGTGTTGCTAATGTTAGCTTTTAGCTTTGGTTTAGTAAATTTTAACTGTTGTCTACATTTGTATTGATTTTTAGCTTCTGTTCTGCTTTTCAGTTAAATTCTTCTTCGACAAATTGAGCCCTGGTCATTCACACTGTATTTTCATGTTTCCTAGTATAAAAGTTGAATTTGATAAATTCCCAGGTTCTTTTCTGGTTTCAACAGAAAATTTTTCAAAAAATGAAGTTTTAGAAAGCTGTCGTTTTTCAGAGTTTTTATTAAAATGTCTCGTCCCATCCAGACGGGGTCAGGAAAGACTTACACAATGGGGACGGGCTTCGATGTCAACATCCTGGAGGAGGAGCTGGGCATCATTCCCCGTGCTGTTCACCACCTCTTTAAGGGCATCGAGGAGCGCCGCCAGGTGGCCCAGGAGCAGGGACGCCCAGCGCCGGAGTTTAAAATCAACGCACAATTCCTTGAGGTACACACCTGTCTCATTTCATCAGTACTTTTGTTTGTTTGTTTGTTTGTTTGTTTGTTTGTTTGTTTATTGGATAAAATGTAACGGAAACAAAAAAAATACAATTTAATCCAGGCTTCAGACTTATAATGTTAATTCTGCTGGTCTAATAAAGCTGTAGCAAGAACATTTCTGTTCTGACAACTGAAGGACAGCAGTTGTCCTCAGGGGATTAGGGTGGGTTAGGTGGTTCTGGGGGGTTGTGGTGGGGGATCATTTTGTCATCTGGAGGGGCTAACAAGAATGATGGTTGTCCTGCTAAATAAAACCGACACATTTAAAATTTCTGGAGGAAACCTGAAGCTGCAAAAATGAAGGAAACAAACAGTTTAGAAATGTGAAAATAAATCAAGATGTCACTCTTCAGACAGAACACACTTGTTTCAGACTTTCAGACTCTGAACCCTCTGATAGGCTGACATTTTAAAACCTTGATTAAACCCTTTGATTCCACCTTTGCAAAGGTTGTAACACCAGCAGCTGTTGCAGGTATTTACAGTACATGCAACCAGAGTGAAAACTAATAACATAAATCTGAAAAAGATAAAGTGGCTTTAAATAAGTCTGTGATATTTAAGGTTTAGAATAAATTTACAAAAATAATGTTTTCACTTTATTATGTATTAAGGAGTCTGAATACCTTCAAAAGCCACTTTATATAAATCATCTGTCCTGTGATTTTCTCTTAGTCTTGGAATACAAATTTAGTTTCAGGAGTTTTTTTATGAATTTAATTTCAAAAATCTCTTTTGTTTTTGTTCTAACCTGTTTTTACTTGTACTTTGTATGAATGTGATACTTTTAGATTGTCCTTGCTTTTATTGTGAAGCACTTTATGATTGTATATCTATGAAAGGTGCTATATAAATAAACTTTACTTACTTACATACTTAAATACTTATGTACTTACTTTATTATTAACTTACTTACCTACTTAACTTACAAACTTACCTAAGCACTTATATACTTACTAACTTACTAACTTACTAACTAACTTATGTACTAACTGACTAACTAATTTATGTACTAAGTAACTAACTTATGTACTTAATTGCTCACAAACTAACATACTTACGTACTTACTTACATACTTACTTACATACTTACTTATATGCTTACTTACATACTTATTTACCTATGTACTTACTTACTTACTTACTTACTTGTACTTACTTACTTACTTGTACTTACTTATGTACTTACTTACTTATGAACTTACCTACTTACGTGCTTATGTACTACTTACATACTTACTTATGTACTTACATCCTTACTTACTTACTTATGTACTTACGTCCTTACTTACTTACTTATGTACTTACGTCCTTACTTACTTACTTATGTACTTACGTCCTTACTTACTTACTTATGTACATACGTCCTTACTTACTTACTTATGTACTTACGTCCTTACTTACTTACTTACTTATGTACTTACTTACTTACTTACTTATGTACTTACTTACTTACTTGTGTACTTACCTACTTACGTGCTTATGTACTACTTACATACTTACTTATGTACTTACGTCCTTACTTACTTACTTATGTACATACGTCCTTACTTACTTACTTATGTACTTACGTCCTTACTTACTTACTTACTTATGTACTTACTTACTTACTTACTTATGTACTTACTTACTTACTTACTTGTGTACTTACCTACTTACGTGCTTATGTACTACTTACATTCTTACTTATGTACTTACGTCCTTACTTACTTACTTATGTCCTTACGTACTTACTTACTTATGTACTTACTTACTTATGTACTTACTTACTTATGTACTTACTTACTTATGTACTTACGTACGTACTTACTTACTTATGTACTTACTTACTTATGTACTTACGTACGTACTTACTTGCGTACTTTGCTGGCACTTCAGAATAAAATATTGCTGTAAGGGGGACACATTTAGTTTTATAATGTGAATGATTTTATTTTAGTTTCTGTATAAAATAAATTTAATAATTATTTAAATGACATGAGATCTTATTAAAGTAAATATGCAAATACAACATTAAAGTTATCTTGAATTGACATTGTTTATTAAATTGTTTAAAATACTGTAATAAGTTTATATATTTTTTAACCTTGTAGCTTTATAACGAGGAAGTTCTGGACCTGTTTGACTCTGCACGAGACATGAAGCAGAAGTCCCTCATTAAAATCCATGAAGATGCCAATGGAGGAATTTATACAGTGGGAGTGACCACACGCACCGTGTCCTCGGAGGCTGAGGTAAAACACACAGTTTTTTGATCTATGATGCTTCGTCATTTTATACATTTAGTCATTGCAGCCTTCTTTACTACACCAGATTGACTCTGTACTTATTCTTATAAAAAGACCTCTTTGCCACCACAAGGTCCAAAGCAACAAAGCTGCATATTATTTAATGTGACTCTAATATTTAGTCTGTTTAAACCAGAGAGCAGTGATAGTGTATAAATATTGTGTTGTTCTTCCTCTTCAGATGATGCAGTGCCTGAAGTTGGGGGCTCTTTCTCGCACAACAGCCAGCACTCAGATGAATGTTCAGAGTTCTCGATCCCACGCCATCTTCACCATCCACCTGTGCCAAGTCCGCGTCTGTGCCTCTGACAATGTTAGCGCAGGAAAACACAGAAACTTTAAAGCTGGATTCATACTGGCTCACACTGTTATATCTGTGAAATGTTAACATAAAACATGGGTTTGACTTTAATGATTCATTTTAAATTTGTCATCTTCTGTCAGCAAGAAAATGAGAATGATAACAAGGTCTCTAATGGAAACTCTGAGATGGATGAGTACGAGACTCTTACCGCCAAATTTCACTTTGTGGACCTAGCTGGTTCTGAAAGACTGAAGAGAACCGGAGCGACAGGGGACCGAGCCAAAGAAGGCATCTCCATTAACTGTGGACTGGTGAGCTTTTTTTAAATTTCTTCTTTCCAGCTGAACTGTAACTTCTCATGAGGTGAAGCTGTGATGTTCTAGTGTTATACTGCCATCTAGTGGTTTAAATTGTATAAAACCTGAAGTAAGATTGACTTTCTGTTCTCTACAGTTGTAACAAATATGCAGAATCTTCTCATTCATATTTTTCATCTAATTTTAATATAAATTGCTGTTTTCCTGCCGTCAGCTTGCTCTGGGGAATGTAATCAGTGCTTTAGGTGATCGAAGCAAGCGGACTTCTCATGTGCCTTACAGAGACTCCAAACTAACCCGACTCCTACAGGACTCTTTAGGAGGAAACAGGTGGGTGCACAGCTTCATTTGTTCTGTAGAAGACCTTGCAAACATAATTAAATAGATGTTTGGAAAATTTTGAAGTGGTAAAGTGTGCAAATGCTAAGAATAATTACTATCCTACCTGTTACTGATGGCTCTTTTTAAAGAACTCAGTTTTGGTTTTAGCTGGATTGGGATTAGCTATTGAATCATCAGACATGTTGGTTCTGTTTCTCTATATTGGGTTGCTGGGTTCATAAAACAACTCTAATCTCAAAAATTTCAAAGCACTTCTTAGAAATGTTCTTTTAAAAACTTTTACACAGTCCTTAGTTTTGCAATGCATAGTTTATTTACATGAAAATTAAGTACAAATGACAACAGTCAGTTGCCATTTGCCATTTTCAAGTCAGACTTAAACTCTGTTCCTCCAAACTGAGGGTGTTCAAAGCACTATCCACATTATTGTTTAGCTTTTTTACTGGTCACTATATTTTTAGTGATTTAAATAAAACCTATATTGTTCATAAAAATCAGTAGTGGGTTGTGCAGCTGCATTAAACAGAAATGTTGTAATTTTTTGTTTGTTTTTAGCCAAACCATGATGATCGCATGCATTAGTCCGTCTGATCGGGACTTTATGGAAACTTTAAACACGTTGAAATATGCCAACCGAGCCCGCAACATCAAGAACAAAGTGATGGTGAACCAGGACAAGGCCAGCCAGCAGATCAGCGCTCTGAGGACAGAGATCGCTCGACTGCAGATGGAGCTGATGGAGTACAAGACGGTGAGGGGGAGGAGCTCTGAGGAAGCTGATGACAACCATGGGGCGGGGGGACATAGTGTGTAAGTGTGGTTACTTGTCTCCTGCAGGGTAAACGCTTAGTGGGTGAGGATGGTGTGGAGAGCTTCAGCGACATGTTCCACGAGAACTCCATGCTGCAGACGGAGAACAACAACCTGAGGGTGAGGGTCAAAGCCATGCAGGAGACCATCGACGCCCAGCGGGCGCGCCTCACCCAGCTGCTCAGCGACCAGGCCAACCAGGCTCTCGCCAGGGCAGGTGAGCCCGCTGCCACGCCAGGATCACCACTCTGGATTGTTTGTGGCACGTTGGTGTTTCATGTGTGGCTTTTAATTATTTATTGTTTTAATCTGTTTCTCTTTCAGGTGAAGGAGGAACCGAAGAAATTGGAAACATGATACAGAGTTACATTAAGGAGATTGAAGACCTGCGGTAAAAATGATCAATTCTGTTTTATTTTTTTTTGTCTTGTCTTTGTCTTTTATTAAAGGGGCAATATCATGTAAAATCTGCCTTTTTTGAGTTTTATATCATGTTATAATGTTATACTCTCATAAAAAACATGCCCAAAGCCTTGCTCTGACTCAGAAATCCTGCAGCGTTTTTATGCTACATTTACACCAAACGCGTTGTGCGCCTCAAAAAATCTCAAAATGCACGCATCTTGACGCTGGACAGATGCATTTGATGTGAACGTATACGCGTTTCTTTAGACGCTCGAGGGGAGGAGCATTTTTAACTGTAGTTTCGATAACTTAGCAAACATGCCGACTTCCTCACTAATCGTCCTCCAGGTAAAGTTCCTTTTATTTCTATCACGATAACGGACACTAGAATGATCATAAATGATCGGACTATCAGTTTTTCCTCCATTGTTTGTGTGATCTGATTTCCCGGGCTTCGCTCGTCACCAGTACCTGACTGAACAGAGTCTCTCTGATTGGTTGATGCGACGCGGCGAGCAGCCAAAGTTCAGATTTTCCAATTCACGCGGCGGACGCTTGGGACATGCCGCGCGTGCACTGCTTCGAACCGCGCTGCTCCAAATGCACCAGACGCGCTGCTCGGCTCCTAGATGCACGTCCACCATTGACTTTGCATGTAAACCAGATGCTCYTGATGCTCAAAACGCGTTTGGTGTAAATGTACCATTAGGAAGCCATGCTGAGGAGCAAAACGAC